ACCTTCCCCACACCCAAATTTGATCTGCATGGACAGGGGTATCAGAATGGGCAGTGCCAGGCTCAGGGGCCACTCTAAGCTCCCAGGACCTGTGGTCAGCTCTGCTCCAGCCAACCCAGCTGACTGGGGGAAAGCATGAGTGAGTGGGAAAGGGTGAACTAGAGGCCTTGAAAGCTCCTCACTCTTCCCATTCCCCCAGCCAAAAGAGGGACATTGCATGGGTAGGGGAAGCAGGGGAGACAGAGGAGTCCTTACTTCATCTCTGCAGGTGGTTTACCTGCAACAGGTCAGACAGCGTTGCCTTTCCTTACATAGGTCAGCTTTCCTGCAAATCACGCTGAGGCAAGTTCAGACAAGCAGGGCTTGGTGAGAAGTTATAGGCCAGAAAGGGGACAGCGAGACTTGCTGGGACAGAAACACTTCGCAGAGGTGCTGTTACTCCAGCCTTCCAGCAGGGGGCGTCCTGTCCCGACAAAAGGCGAGTCCTCATTTTCCTGCTGTCCTCCCAGCCAAGGAGACTGGATTCCCCTCAACCTCAAAAGAGGGTTAATCTATGCTCTCAGGGGAGGGAGAGGAGTTCCCCAGGGGGCATAACAATGTTCAGAATCTAGTGTCCTGTTTGGAAAAGGTAGACCAATCAGCAGCTGAAACCTCTTGTCTCCACAAAATGCAAGGCTGTAAATATGACCTTGCAGGAAGGAGAAAGGGCGTGTGAGAGAGTAAGCGAGAGCAACAGCAGGCAGAGTGGAAACAGCTGGGAGGAAAGAGGGAGGACGTCTAGGACCCGCAAAGACTGTTTTTGGAAATACAATATCAGAATAGACAAACGGAATCAAGGCTTCCTTCCCAAAGCAGAGCATTTGGTCCCCTGCATTTTGACACTGAGTACAGACTGATATTTGATAAAAAATTTCTCCACAATTCTTGAACAGCACCCATTCACTTAGAATTTATAGATATAGACCCCTAACTCGAGGGAATTGAGTTATGCAAGGGTTGCTAAGGAACAAGGGGAGATGCAGTAGGTAAGGCAGGGGTTGCTTAGTAACCGAGAGTCCCTCGGTGATGGAGTGGCCAGAGCAGGTCTGGAACTGACGAGGGTCTGTAGACAGTTATCTCATGCCAGAGCCTCCTGAAAGTTCACACCTGTTGGCCCTTTGGCCCAGAGCTGCCAGAGCCTGCCTGCCTCTCTTCACCTTCCTGAAGAGAAAAGCACATCCCCCAAGTCCCTGCTAACTCCTTGCTGGAATCTCTCTCTCCCTTTCTCTCTCAGCAGGAAACTGATCAGGTTCTTCCATTACAGTAGTGGAGGGCAGACCAATGGGAATCCCACATGAGGTGAGGCAGGAGCCTCTGGGCCATGATGAATGTGGAGCTGGGAAATTTGAATTTGGGTGAAAGAGGGTCCCCTAGACAAGCATCCCTGGCGTTTTCCAGTTCATGGTGAAATATTTTCATACCTGAGTCTCCCACGCCAGATCCTCTCCCTGTCTTCACATCTTCACATAGCTACAGAGGCACACCCTTCTCTTCTGAAGGGCCTCCTGAGGGCACAGGTCTCCACACAGCAGCCTGGATGTGGCTGCTTTAACCGGCCCAGCTCAACAGACCTCCCTTCAGAGAGCTTCGATCAGTACCAGCCTGGTGGAGTCATTCAGAACTGCAGTCTGCTTTCTCAGGCATGAGCCCCCCATTCTCTGCACTCCAGGCACATAGGAATCCCTACTCTCTCCCAAACACCCTGGGCATGCACACCCTCCATTCCTCCTCTCAGCCTGTTCCCCCTGACAGGAGCGTCTATCCTGTTGCTGCCCCTTTCAAAATCCTCTCAGTCTACCAGGTCCTATTTACCTGCAACTTTCCCAGCCTGATTAGCTCACCAGTCTTATTGAGCACTCCTGTGTTTCAGGCCCTGGGCCCCCCAGAGGGAGGAGTATAGCCAGCGTTCAAGGAACTCACGTGACACTCATTCCTGATCCTCTGCTTCCTGGCTAGGATACTCCATGAAAGCCCTTTGTGAATTGAGTGTTTAAAATCAGAAAGCTTTTGCTTATTTAAGGCAAAGCCCTTTGCATAGAACATGTCTGAGAAAGTATCTGAGATGCTGGCAAATTTGCGTCTGAGAAGGGAACTGGAGGATTTAATTTTTTAATTAGTTTTAAACTGCTTGAATTTTAAAATTTACCATGAGCAGGTAATCTTTACTTTTTCAAACTTTTAAATTGGGTGAAATATAACACATACATAAAAAGTATACAAATACATAGGTGACATAATATATCTCATAGACACCATGTAAGCATCACTTTACGAGATACATGTATTTTCACTCGTAAAATACAACATTGTCAGCACCCTAGAAGCTCTTTAGTTTGCCCCTTCTTTTTTTTTTTTTTTCTTTTTGGCTGCTGAGGGTAAATTTAATAAAGGATTAGCTGGCACTCGCTTCTTGGGGATAAAGGTCAAAGAGGAAGGGCATCATATCTCCCAGGTGCTGGGGGAAAAGGCAAACTGCTTCCGAGGGGATGACTGCTTGCTGGAGGACTGGGACAGCAATTCCATCCCTGTGGGGTCTGAGCAGCGGGCATCTTCCTCCTTCTGGAATGGCTGAGAGGAGGGGAGTGTGCTTGTCAGATCTTCGCTATTTGTAAGTCCTGGGACCTCCAGCTTTCCAGGGGGACACACGATGTTGGGGTTTACCCACATTCACAGTTTGGGCTCATAATCTGGACCATCCTTATCAGGGTTGGGTTTTTTCTCTAGGGGTAATTTTGGTGGCTTAACAATTCGGAGTTTATACCTGGCAAGTTTCTGCTCGGCTAAAGAGAGGTGAGGTGTGGTGAAGGCCAGAAAGAGCTCATTCCCCATGTCCCAGTCCAGCAATCCCGGAACCTGGCCATGGAGGCTGGCCCAGAAGTCAAGGTGTTGGAGGTTCACCTGTCCCATCTTATTTTTTCTGTTGCCCTGGATGCAGTGCAGTAGTGCAATCTTGGCTCACTGCAACCTCCAACTCCTGGGTTCAATTGATTCTCCTTCCTCAGCCTCCCAAGTAGCTTGGACTATAGGCATGTGCCACCATGCCTAGCTAATTTTTATATTTTTAGTAGAGATGAGATTTTACTATGTTGGCTAGGCTGGTCTCCAACTCCTGACCTCAAGTGATCCACCTGCCTCAGCCTCCAAAGTGCTGGGATTACAGGCATGAGCCACCTCGCCTAACCTGTTTGCTTCTTCTTAATCGTAACTGCCTCCCCACAGCTTCACCCCAGGAATACCCACTCTCCTGACTGTGGTGATCACTGCCCTGCATTTCTCTGTATTTTTGTCACCTGTTTGCCTTCTTAAGCAACATAGAATTAAGCAACATATTCTGTCACCTGTTTGCCTCTTAAGCAACATGGTCAGACACAAGAGAATGCATACTATGTGAGTCCACAAGTTTTACCTGTTGTTGAAACTCGTGGACTCACATAGTATGCATTCTTTTGTGTCTGAATTCTTTCACTCAACAATATATTTTTTTAGATTCCTTTATATTGCTCAGTGTGGCTTCAGGTCATTCATTTTCATTATTGTATAGTATTTCATTATAGAAATGCAGCACGATCTGTTTATCCATTCCACCATTAATAGGCATATAGACTTTGATATGGTTTGGGTTTGTGTCCCTGCCCAAATCTCATGTTGAATCGTAATCACTACTGTTGGAGGAGGGGCCTAGTGTAAGGTGATTGGATCATGGGGGCAGATGTCCCCCTTGCTGTTCTCGTGACAGTGAGTGAGTTCTTATGAGATCTGGTTGTTTAAAAGTGTGTAGCACCTCCCGCTTTGCTCTCTCTTCCTCCTGCTCTGGCTGTGTTAGATATGCCTGCTTCCCCTTCACCTACTGCTTTAATTATACGTTTCCTGAGGCTTTCCCAGCCATGCTTCCTGTATAGCCTGTGGAATTGTGAGTCAATTAAATCTCTTTTCTTTATAAATTACCCATTCTCAGGTCGTTCTTTTTTTTGTTTGTTTTTTGAGACAGGGTCTTGCTCTGTTTCCCTGGCGTGCAGCGGCACAATCTCAGCTCACTGCAGCCTTTACCTTCTGGGCTCAAGCAATCGTCCCACATTAGTCTCCTGAGTAGCTGTGACTACAGGTGTGCACCACCACACCTGGCTAATTTTTGTAGAGATAGCATTTCACCATATTGCCCAGGCTGGTCTTAAACTCCTGAGCTCAATGAATCTGCCCACCTTGGCCTCCCAAAGTGCTGGGATTACAGGTGTGAGCTATGGTGCCTGGCCTCAGGTAGTTCTTTATAGCAGTGTGAAAACAGACTAATACAGACTTGTTTTCAGTTTGGAACATTCTAAGCAGGCTTCTCTGAACATGTGTGTACAGTCTCTTGGTGCACACATGACCTCCCTTCTGCAGGATGCCACTTCCCTTTATAGAGTCAGAGATCTGTATTTTCAATTCTCTATACAATGCCAAACCATTTCCCAAAATGGTTGTACTTACCCTCTATCCAGCTATGAATGAGAGTTTCTGTTGATTTTGCTTTTTCAACTAGAAGCAGTTAATTAATAACTGGTATAATTATTTGTTGGTGCCTGGCATCCTCACTTAACCAGGACGCTGTATGGGTGGGGTCCAGGGGTGATTCTGTGGTTTACTAACATGTCCCTGCCTCCACTGCTCAGTGCCTGACACATTGCCAGTGCTCGATGTTTGCTATGCAATGAATGGAAAAATCCTCTCGGTCTACTGAATGTTGAGTCTCACATTTTAATCTGTGAGTAATTTCCCCAGTTTTATAGCTTAGGAGTTTTCATGGATTGCTTTCTTGACCTGAGGTTCACATGTTTATAATTTTCCCTAACCAGTCTGACTCTCTGCCACACTCTGTTGCTGGCCTTGTCTGTCTGGAGGAAGGGGGAGGGTAGATTAGCTTCAGGCTCACTGACTGTATCAGTGATAAGTGAAATTGATTCTTTCCCCCAGGCCTGATTCAGCAGGAAGCATCCCAGATACCAACCACCATGCTGCCAGCAGTGATCTGGGGCCACTGGGGCCTGTTTTATACCAGTGCTAGGCATTCTGTGAGGATGAGCAGCACTAGGGTAGACTGGAAGGGCATGCTGGCTAACCGGGTAGCTGTGGTCACGGGGTCCACCAGTGGGTGAGTGCCGGATGGCCTATGGGTCCTGGCCCCTCACAGGGTCCCTGGCTTCCACAAGGACTCAGGGTTGCAGAGCAAGACCCAGCCTTCTTTGCTGATTTCCAGGGTAGAGGAAGGACAGTGGGGAGGGGCTGATGCTGACTCATGTCCTCCATCTCTGCCCCTAGGATTGGCTTCTCTGTCGCCCGGCGTCTGGCCCAGGATGGGGCCCATGTGGTCATCAGCAGCCGGAAGCAGCAGAATGTGGATCGGGCTGTGGGTGAGCTGCGGGGGGAGGGACTGAGTGTTACAGGCACCGTGTGCCATGTGGAGAAGACTGAGGACCGGGAGCGGCTGGTGGCCAAGGTGAGGGGGAAGGCGGTGGAAGGACACACAGAGGGGAACATGAAGAACCTTTCCTTCGCTGCTCAGCCCTGGGAGGGGGGTGGGGGTCAAGAATGTGTCCTGAAACCATGACTGTGCCCAGGCTGCCTGAACCGACCTCACTGCCCAGAAGGTCTGTCAGGAAAGTGGCCTGTTTGTGAGAGGACGCTCACCCTATCTCTAGGCCCTGGGAGAAGTTGAGGAAGAGTCTGAAGCGGGTGAGGGAGGTCTCCAGAGGGACTCCTGGAGGAGACCTTCTTCTCTTGGGGACTGGCCCCAGGAGCCTGCCCTTGGGCCACCTAGGTCACTTTCCTTCAGGAGATTTTGGTTTTCTGTGGAGCCTTATAATCATTCCTGGTTGAAGCATCTGCTCTGCAAGCTTTGCCTGAAGGCCCTATGACCTCTGCTGCTCTGGGAGGGAGAGGCCTCCTCAGGCTATCTCCATACTCACCCAAGTCTTTCTTCATAGGCCCTGGAGCACTGTGGGGCCGTTGACTTCCTGGTGTGCAATGCAGCGGTCAACCCTCTGGTGGGGAGCACTCTGGGGACCAGTGAGCAGATCTGGGACAAGGTGAGAGGGCTCCCCCAGAGAGGAAGCTGAGGGCCTGATGCCAGCTCTGTGCTAGGCTCCAACACACGCCTATGCCCACCAAGATTCTCTGCTTCCCTCCGGAGGTTACTGGAGAAGCAGGCCATGAGTGGTAGTCCTGCCTGGCCAGCTGCCCCCAACAAAGTGCCTGGATGCTACTTTCTGGCTTGTTCGTTCTTAAATCTGGCCCCCACATTTTCTGCTTTCTTTACTCTTCTCATCCCTTTTGCATTTAATCATTCAGCAGATATTTATTGCTGTGTGCCAGGAGCCACCATTTCAGGCTCTAGGGATACAGCTGTGAATGGATAGTCAGAATCTCTGTAAGAGTCAAGCACTTCTATGTGTTCCACCCTTTTGTGGGGGCAGATATGGGTAGTGTGTTTCTCTTTGGTGACCTGTGCCTCAGGCGGAGACTCTGTCTCTCCTGGGGGGGAGGGCTCCTCACCGAGTCTCACACAAACCTGCTGTCAGGACCTGATCCAGCCATCAGCATTCTGGGGGCTCAGACATCCCAGCCTGCTGCAAGTCCACTTAAGGATTCTGCCACCTTGTCAACAAGGGTCCGGGACAGACCTTGTGAAATGCCTTGAAGCGCATGTTGGGCTTAGTTGTTCCTCAACGATCCTGTTCCTTTCACTCTCATGTTTTGTTCGCTGTTCTCTCTGCCAGAATGCATGGTGGTGAATTTCATTCTTTCTGCTATTGTGAGCATTCCCCAGTCTGCCCTAAGCGCTGGGTCAGAGCGTTTCCTGCCTGCTGGCCTGAGTGTGTTCTGCCTTCCCTAGCTCCTGCACTCTCATTTGCCAACATCATCTTCAGGCCGTCCCCTTCCTTCTATATGCCCTTGGCTGGGTGCCCTTGGCTACATCCTCAGAGATGATCTGAAATCTGAGCTCCCTGCAGCCCCTGCTGAACAGCTTCCCCAGGCTCTTTAGCTGTGTTCTTAATGCCTCCAAAGGATCATTTGAGTTTACAGCTGGGATTTTATTGCCGACAGTCTGCTAACCCTCCTGAATCATTTTCCTGTTTAGTGTCTCAGTTCACAGGATCATGACTCTTTTTTTCGAAACTGTTTGCAGTCATCCTTCCTGAATCTGGGGGCACATGCCAACAATGGACCTTACTTTCTCTGATTCTCCCCTGTTCTCCAAGGACTTGGCATTCAGTGGGCAATTCTGCATCACTGGACAGAAATCATTGATGACTTGTCCCCGATCACATCTGCCATCACCTCAGAGGTGAAGTTGTCACAGAATGAGTTTAGAATTTACCAGATGCTCTGCTTTTAACTAAATGCAGTTTTCAGTAGGAGTCCTGTAGGGAGAACTCCTTACCACCCATCTTATTCTTGAGCCAGTTTTGAGGCCATCTCCAGGCAGAGCCCTCCTTCTCTCCAGCAGGTTGGGAAACTTGTAATCTGTTACACCAGCACAACCACTTTGCCTCCATCCTTCTCCTGGCCTGGTGACTCTCCAGCATGTGCCCTCTTTCAGGCTCATGGAGAGTTCTCTGCTCAGGACTACTTGGCACACGGAGCTACTCTCCCTTACTTTCTAATGGGGCAGTTTTCTTCATCAAGGGAGGGAGTCTCACCTTTTCTTTGGCTTGGGTTTTGTTTCTGAGTCTAGGAGAGGCCGTACTTCAGCCCATCACTCAGCCTGATGCACATGGAGTTTTGGACAGACATCCTGTGGGCCAGCTGGGGTCTATTTTGACCAGGAAGCCCTTAGGGCTAACCTAACCCTCAATTCCTTCTTATTGGAGACCTCATGGTGGTACCCCTTTTCTGACATCTGGGCCACTTCTTGCAGTCATGGGGGGATCATCCCCCACACTGGAAACCTGTTGTCAAATGGGCCACAGCAACATTCAGCTGAAGTATTTCCCCTTCCCACATCCAAGGAATTGAGTGGGCGTGGGATCGGGGAGTGGAAAAAACAGTGGGCAGTCCTGGTCAGTTGCAGATGTGCAGTCTCATTCCCTAGAGATGCAGGATGCAGCTGACCTCCATCAAGACAGATCCCCACAGGAGGGATTCCTGGTGTCACATCAGTCCCACCTGGACTGCCCTAGCTCCCAGGCTCTGCCTCTGCATCTTTCCTGCCAGTTCCTCTCTCACTTCTCCCTGTTCCCAGATCTACAAGACAGAGCTTCCAAAGTGTCAGGATCTGTGTGACTTAGCCCAGATTCAGACTGTAGTCACAAGCAGGATCAGCCTGGACATCTAGCTCCCAGAATGATGATTCTTTGTTGTGTCTCTCACTTTGTCTTGGCTACAGGAAAGCTCAGAGCCAAGTCTGCAATAACTGGTGTGTGTAGGCCCTCACAGCCTGCATTTCTGTGACTGAATGATAGAATAAATGCTCACATGCTGTGAACTGTAGGCACTACCTCACTCTTGCTTTTTCTTATTTTTCTATACTGATTTTTCCTATTCTCCATTTCTTTACACATAGTACCTACTTGATATGTTTTATCCGGTTGCATTTGAGTATGCCTTAAATTCTGGGGGTCAAGGCAAGAACACAAGCAAATGAAAGCTCAGAGACAAAAGAGGCTCTTCCAGAAATCTCCCTTGCTCCTAGCACGTGCTTCCTCCCCATCAGGCTGTCTTCAGTCTTTCTCCAGAGGCCTCTGCTTGTTGTTGTTGTTGTTTTAAGAGCAGGGTTTCACTCTGTCACCCGGGCTGGAATGCAGTGGCAGGATCATGGTACACTGCAGCCTCAAACTCCCGGGCTTAACAGATCCTCCTGACTCCGCCTCCTGAGTAGCTAGGATTACAGGTGTGCACCACCACACCAGGTCATTTCAAAAATTTCTTGTAGAAACAGGGTTTCACTATGTTGCTCAGGCTGTTCTTGAACTTTTGCCTTGAGTGATTCCCCTACCTTGGCCTCCTAAAGTGCTGGGATTACAGGCATGACCCCCTGCCCCCAGCCCCATTTTCTTTAAAAGGCCTGAACATTCCCTTCCTCGTGTCAGTCCTGAACAATTCACATTTTCAGGACTCTGCTCACAGGCCTGTGATTTAGCCTGTCTGCCTATGAAACCATTAGCAAATTGGAAACACCTCTTGCACCAGTGAGAAGGGGGATCAATGTCTCACATCTGCACATCAATTGGGTCTGCTGCACAAATTATAGGGCTCCAAGTGTCTCATGACAGCAGGACCTGGGCTGACCATGTCTCTGCCCTCACCCATGTTCTGCTCTGATTTTAGATCCTAAGTGTGAACCTGAAGTCCCCAGCCCTGCTGCTGAGCCAGTTGCTGCCCTACATGGAGAAGAGGTACTGCAGGGTGGGAGTGGGGAGCAGTGGGAGTTGGGGACCTGAGGTGGGCACAGGAGTGGAGTCGGGAACAGCCAGTAGTGGGTGGAGGACATAAAAGGTCTCTCTGGGATCTCCACATCCCTCATCTTCTTGTCCTGCCTCACCCTGTGTGAGGCTGCCATTCCCAATCCCAGTGGCTGCAGGATGAGAGCAGTATTCCAGGGGCCCAGGCATAGTCTCCTTGGCCTTGAGATCAGCAGGTTTGGGACAAGGCTGTGCTTTAGCTCCTTGACCTTGTGGGCTGGTCATTCTCACCTTCCCTGCTTTCTGTTCTTACCAACTTAAAACCCACAACAGGGTTAGCCCCATTCCTCCCCATAGGAAAAAACCTATCCCAGACCCCTCCTCATGCCTGCCCTTGGTCTCCAGGGACCTTGCCTGTGTACCAGATCCTGCAGATCTGACTGTACTCCTCACAGACACACCCTTAGGAACTTGCTAGGGGCTGTCTTCAGTACAAGGAAAGTTCCTGACTGTCACTTCTGGTCTCCCCTGCTCCATCTGCTCCTTAGAGGTTACTCATTGATAGGCCTTCACCATTAGCCTTGGGTGAGTGCCTATCAATCTTCACCATGCCCACTCTGCTCTCTCCTTCAAGCACCTGGCAAGAGAGGAAGCAGAATACAAGGGTTCTGAGCATGGACACTGTATTTACGAAAAATAGGGATGGAATCCCAGCTCTGCCACATATTGGCTGGTACTAAACCTCTCTGAACCTCAGTTTCCTGAGCTGTGAGATGGGGATAGTAACAGGACCTATGTTAATTCTGTAAGGGTTGCATCATTTAATGACCGCATGATAGTTTCACCATTAGTGGTAGGTCGTTAGCTTTAGCTTCTCTGGTGCTTGTCTCATCTCAGGAGGGGTGCTGTCATCCTGGTCTCCTCCATTGCAGCTTATATCCCAAAAGTGGTAAGTGCTTGGTCCTTGTGCTCCTGAGTGGTGTAGGGTGAAGTGTAACTTTGTTCTCTTCCTTAGAGTCTCACAGGGAAAATGCCTGGGACAGACCCCCACCATCCTCCTGCTGCCCTGGGCTGAGCTTGTCTCCACATGGGTGGGAGGGCTGCTGGGCCTGTGAGATCCCTGCAGGTGAGAAATCCAGTGGATGCTTTCCCCCACTCTCCCATATCCTAATCAGTCTCTCAATTCCCTTCCCAGGAGCTGGGTGTCTACAACATCAGCAAGACAGCACTGCTGGGCCTCACCAGGACACTAGCATTGGAGCTGGCCCCCAAGGACATCCGGGTAAACTGCCTGGTTCCAGGAATGATCAAGACTGACTTCAGCAAAGTGGTGAGGATTGGGGTGTATCTTCCATCTTCCGGTCTGGCTCAGGGGAACCCTTCCCATTGGCTAAGGGATAAAAGGGTGACTGAATCCTCAGGTCAGCATGCCTATGACTGAAGTTCTTATTGTCCTCTGAACTCAGCAACGATGCAGTCCATCCATCCTGAGAAGATGCTGCTTCTTTTGAGAAGGGCAAAGCTGCTCTAGGTGCCCTGCCTGGTGGCCTTCCCGGGGCCCTGTCTATCCACTTGTTTTAGCAGCACTGACTCTCCTCTCTTCCCTTTGCCCAGTTGCATGCGAATGAGGCTTTCTGGAACTCCTTCAGTGAACATCATCAGCTGCAGAGGCAAGTGGAGTTTGGAGATCTGGTGGTCCATGTGTGGCTGGGCAGGGACAGTTGAGTATTGCAAGGGCAGATCCCTCCCTGTCTTCTGGCCATTCCTTTTGCTGAAACCTGGAGTCTACACTGCCCTGGAAGGTGCAAGTAGCCCTGCTATATCCACCTTGTTCCCCGTGGAGCCCACTCCCACGTATCATCCATGAGCCCCAGAGCAGCAGAACCAGAGTGAAAGATGCCTGACACTGTGTCCTCCTTCCATCCAGGATTGGGAAGCCAGAGGACTGTGCAGGAATCGTGTCCTTCCTGTGCTCTCCAGATGCCAGCTACATCACCGGGGAGAACATTGTGGTGGCCGGCTTCTCCTCTCGGCTCTGAGAGGGGTAGGGGTGGGGGTGGCTGTGCAGCTGTGGTCCCAGGCCCAGGAGCCTGAGGGGGTTTCTAGGTGATCATTTGGATCTGGAGACAGAGTCTACCATTCTTCCAGAATTTGGGGGCTTACTCATACTAGGCTTAAGGAGAAGAAAAACTTCAATATTCTCCTTAGGACCTCTCTGCAAGCCTGTTGTAGATTTGGCTGATCTAATCAATGTGTGGGGTTCTTGGTGTGGGGCTGGTGCTTTGAAGGAACCTTAAGGGAAAGGAATAGAAGCTCAGGCCTCTGAAGGATCTTAGCTCTTCCTCTCTGTAATTTGTGCTTTAAGCTTTTTTTTTTCCTAAAATAAACTCAAATTTATCCTCAAGTCTGGAAGCATCTGTGAAGAGTGGAGCCCAGGGCATCATGGTGGAAAGAGGCCTTTACCGCCAGCTCCCCTGAGCTTACCACAGACACATGGTGGTGGGAGTGAGTGCGCTGCCTCACAGAAGGCTTTGTGTGTGCTCCATTCTCTGAACTGGGCCTGCTGGGGGCTCAGCAAGGTGGTGGTCAGCGATAGTGGAAAGATTCTGGGATTCTCCCCAGGGGTCCTCCAGGCTAGTGCTTCTTAACATTTTCTGGGCCACACAGGACTTTGAGAACCTAGAGAAAACAATTACACTGAATCTTTTTTTTTTTTTTTTTGGTGAGATGGAATTTCACTCTTGTTGCCCAGGCTGAAGTATGATTGCATGATCTCTGCTCACCGAAACCTCTGCCTCCTAGGTTCAAGTAATTCTCCTGCCTCAGCATCCCCAGTAGCCAAGATTACAGGCAGGGGCCACCACACCAGGCTAATTTTGTATTTTTAGTAGAGATGGGGTTTCTCCATGTTGCTCAGGCTGGTCTCAAACTGCTGACCTCAGGTGATCCACCCTCCTCGGCCTCCCAAAATGCTGGGATTACATGTGTGAGCCACCACGCCCAGTCCAGTTATCACAAATCTGCATAATTCCAGTTAGAGGAGAGTAGTCAGAGCCGACGTTCCTCTTGGGGCGAACACACAGCTGTCTTGGAAAAGGCCCTGTGTATTGTCCTGAGTCATACTCAGGGATACCACCCTGTGTGTATGCATACCCAGGCTCAGAACAGTGGAGAGGGAACAGTGGTCCATGAGTCATCTGTGGCCCTGAGTACCTCTCTTGCCACCTGTAAGTGTTGTCCTGAACCAGTGCAGAGGGAGGAACTGAGAAGGCTTCCAAGCTGACCCTTGGCCTTGGTCTCATGGAAACCCTTCGACAATGCCTCCTCTCTACACCACCCAGGGAACGGGTCCTTGTAGTGTGAATAGTTAAATTACAAAAGCATTTGTGCATCTTACTACAGCTATGCATTGTGCCAGGCAACCTGGAGAACACAGACATAAATAAGACCCAACCTCCCTCCAGTTCCTTCAGTCTGGTGGGAAAACAGAAGGTATAACGCTCATCAGAAAATGAGCCAGAACATGTTTATTCATTTGATACATTTACTGAGTACCACTCTGTGCCAGGCACTGAACACAACAAAGACTGCCACCCTGTGAGCTCACATGATAGGAGAGACTGCAATAAATAACAAACATATTAAAAATAACATACATAGTGTTAGTAGGTACAGAATAAAAAAGGTAAAGAGTAGGGCAGTTGAGGGTGTGGGCAAGCCAGTGTAGGCACATCATATGCAAATCATCATGGGATCACGGAGGACCATGGCTTCCAGTGAAGCTGGTGGAGGTGCCATTGGGGCCGAGACCTACTCATTAAACATAAGAACAAATTGGGTTGCCAGAATGCTGTTTTTCATTGGGAAGGCCAGGATCTGAACTGGTGGGACTGCTAATGGTGAAGGGATAAGCACACCTCTTGGCTCCTCAAGATATAGACAGAGATATTATAGTAATGGACAAGACCAGAGTATGGATGTGTTTTTGGCCCTCCAGATCCACTCCCCACCCTTCTCTGCCCTGCATGGTGCTGGGCTGACCTCTGCAACACATCATGGAGGCTCCCTTGCCCTCAGGCTCCCAGTCCATGGTAGAACTGGGAGGGCATGTTTCTCTGGCCTCCTCCCTGAAGGCAGCGGCTGTGTGCGCCTAGGATTATAGCTCCTGTGCGGCCATTCCCACCCCCCAACCACCAACTGGCTCTCTCCCTGGCCCCTTCAGGCTAGGAGTCACTGTTGCTAGTTCCTGGCTGCTTCACTACCCTTTGCTGGTTCCTTTAATCTTGCCCACCTACTATTCTTTCATTCCATTCTCTTTAATTACTTCTTTGAATGTGGCCTGACAGGGGAGCCACAGCCAGGTCAGAATGGGGCAACCCATTTTGTAGGTTTAACTACTGAAATCTTTCCAACCATCCCCATTCAGGCTGCCCTGGCCTCTTCCTTGGGTTCCTCTGGGCATTCCTATGACTCAGCAGCCAAAGGGTGAAGAGCTGACATAGCAGGGGCCCCAGACTTGCTTCCTGTGTGGCCCAGGCCCTGCAGTAGAAAAGAGGTAAATGCAAGAAGATCTCTGGAGGTGACTGGGACCCCCTGAGCATCACCTCCCTCCTCCTGGCCTTCTGCATCCAGGCTCCCACTCCTTCCCAAGAACCCCATGGAAAGGAAGAGGAATGCAGTCACTTGGAGGTGAGTGGTAATTTCTCACTGGAGCAGAGACCACTTTTTACAGCTCCCCAATGTCCCTACTTCCAAACCTGTTTCTGGATGTTGATGGGGGGAGGGTTCTCTGGCTGAGCAGTGCCTGGCCCTGTCCAATGCTCCTTCTATTCCCACTGTCTTATTTTCTCCCTCCTTCCTCATGGAATTGGGCCACCTGCAGCTTCTGTGCTGGGCCTTTCTAAAACCAGCTCTCCCTGCCTGGACATCTGTGCCATGTCCAGGCTGCCTACCCTGGAAGGTAGGCACTACCATGCGTCAGCCTCAGGCCACCCATCTCAATGGTCTGCTGAAGGAATGTTTTCTTATGGAAGCACATCCCTCAGCCTGGTTCTCCAGAAAGCACAGCTGGATGTCAAGGCTCCTGTGGCTTCTGTAGGAAGACAGGAAGAGCCAGAATTAAAACATGGGCTCCATTCTGTAGCCCTCCATGAGCCTTGCTGGTGGAGTAAGTCCCCTGGTGGAGTCCTTGCCCCAAACCTACCCTGACTAAGCAGTAAGATTGGGAGCCTCAGTTTCCAAGAAATGGGGGTCCCCCCAAATCCTTCCTGACTTCAAGGTGTGTGAGTCTCATCTAATATTTGGTTCACAGCCCTTCTTCATGCAGCAAATGGGTCTGAATCCTTCCTATGGCAGTGTATGGGGGTATCCCAGGGTCCCCAGGGAGATTTAAACCAGCTACTGGGCTAGATGGAACTTAAAAAGAATCGGGACTGAGCAGAAGGCTGTCCGAGTCACCCAGCGCCCCATACCTCTTCCAGTGGATGAATTTATAGTGAAATCAGGCAACACCGACACATGCTTTTTCTAGCCAGTCAGCAACTCTGGAGCGAGGATGGAGGAAAATGGATAACAAGGTCTTCCTGGGTTTGGGACATGTCCAGGCCACAGTTCATGCCAGGATGTCACCTGAAGTGGCCCAAAGGAGGGATCGGATCTCAGTGCAGGGGATGGTGGGGATCCGAGTTCATCAGCCACCCAAAAGCATAAGGGCTCAGCACTGAGGCTTCAGTCAGTGTGGGGAAGTTTCTACAGGCCTGGATGAGCCGGGGAGGCAGAGCAAGGTGTAGTAGGAGATGCAGCAGACAATGGAAGACTGAATTCTCCAGATGAGAAGCCCAGGCCCAGAAAGGTGGCTCACTCAAAGGTTCCGCAGCTCTGGAACCACCAAAGCAGTGAACACGGCTCTGCCACCCAAGCTCCAGTACCATGACCTTCTCCTACACCTTCAGGGCTGAGTGCAGAGAAAGTAACCAAGCAAAATGGGACAGTGTTCTGAAGGCTTGCAGGGGAGACACTGAGAGTGGAGAGATTGGCTGCAGAGAAGCTGGTGGATCTGCAGTTTGAAAGCAGTGCGGGGGACCGACCCGTCTTCCCTGCAATGAGAATAGAGAAAATGTGGACTTCCTAGGTAAGAGCAGAGAGATGTCACCAAGACAGAAAGCCCCATCGCTATACAATGGGGAGAAGAGGACTTTGCACACAGCCAAGCAATGCTCAAGGAAGGGATTTGGAGTCCTGGTGACAGGTTGTGTGTTTGTGTGTGTGCACATGTGTGTGCGTCGTGTGTGTATGGTACAGTGGGACTGACCTTAGCGAGGCGAAGGGCTGGAGAAAGTGCAGGTGAGGATATGAGAGGTGTGGAGGGGGATTTGCACTCAACTGATGGCTTTTGCCTCTTCCTTTAATGAAATACCCATCCTGGGCACAAGCTGTGCCCAGCCTTTCAGGGTGAGGGGGTAACCCTAGCTGGGAGGGGAGTAGGGGACAGAGAGAAGGGAAAGCCTCTGTGCTCTGACTCAGCTCCTCCATGCTGCCATGCTCCTTGGGTTGCCCTGTGCCTCATAGCCCTCTAAGTGGGCAGAGGGCAGTGTCTTGCGGCCTAACTGGGTAGGGTGAGGACAAGGGCTGGGACTGGTTGAGTCTCCCATAGTCTTCCTCAGGCCGAGTTTCCAGCACAGAGGCTATGGGTTGTGCATAACCATGCACATGTGCTTCCTTGGGATAAATCACCTCAGTATTTGTTTGGTTTCCAGCAGCCTTGGGCAGTACTGAGATCCTTTTATCTAGGCAAATCAGTGAGAAACAAAAAACAAAACAACAGCCAGAGGGTTTCTGCTGGCTTGGAAGAGCCTGTGTGCTGGGAAGGAGGAGGAAATGGAACCCTGGAAGTGATGAAAGGCAGGGAGCTTACAGCTCTTCAGCTGTGGGCAGAGCACCTCAGGATGGGCCAGACTCTGGGTGCTGGAGTCAGAATAGCAGACTCTCCACTTTGGGAGCACTTTGTTGCCTATATATACATTTTAGGTTAATCCCCTTATCGCTGATCCCTTAAAAGAAAGGGGCAAAAGTCCCGGGGCAAGGGGGAATTCTAGAGTGTGCAAGGATGGCCACAGATAAGCATTCTGGTAAACTGGGGTGATGGCATTCCAGCCCAAGGGTTCTCTGGTGACTCCCCAGGTAACCCATGCTTGTTTGGATGTTATCCTCACCCCCTCAAATAAAAAGGGCAAGCTGCAGCCCCTGACCCAGTTTTTGCTTTTTCTGGACCACTGTGACTGTTGGGGGAGGTTTTCTTATCCACTGCAATGTAGCATTCACTTCGGCACTGCATCTCTTCAGCTGTCCCTGCCCGCATTCCACTTGTGAGGCTGGGCTCACCCATAGGAGGGAGGTCTGGGCAGT